AGCTGAAAGAAAATCATAGGGATTTTATCATACTATGTTTATATAATATATATAACAGCAAATCACAACTACACACACTAGCTACAACTAACGAGATTTTTGCTGTCATTGTGCAATCTAAATATGGACTTGCGGGGGCAGCTAATGACAATGTTGCTCATATTGCATGTGACACATCAAGTTGATTTGTACACTTTGATTTCAAGTTCAGTAATGCAGAGAATCCTGTTCACATTTTTGATTAATTTATTCAGACATCCAGGCCCATACCACCCCCATCATTTGGTTACCAAAAGGGATTTGGATATTCCCAGTTAAGAATCTCTGCTTTAGACCATCTGTGGTGTGACTAAGAAGTGAACCTGAGAAGAAAGAATGATGCGGGCCGAAATTGACAGCTTACATTTTTAAGGTGCGGATTCTAGGGTCAGCCTACTCCTTGTTCCACAACCTAGTAAGATACTTACCTAGAAGAATCAGGCAGCCAGTAAATGTCAGAGATTCATAGATACTGCACCAATACTGCACACTTCTTAAAAGTTAGTGACTATTTAATAAAACCAGAATCAGATTGGCAGCTCCAGAGCCTTTATGATTGATTTTTAGACAGGATATGAGCACAAACAGAGGCCAGTATGTTGTTGTATGTCATCACGTTACACGGATCATATAATGTTAACAATTCAAGTGTCCAACTTTTTAGCTCCAGCGTCTGACCAGATTCCGATCTTACAATCTGCTTCTCACTTATGTACCCACCTCTTCTGTTGTCTACACTCCCTCTCCACTATGAAAAGTAAAGGGCTTTTCACTAGTTATATTTTGTCATCTGTCTTGTCTTGGTTGAGCTTCTTCACAGGAACCATTAGTGACTCTTAGTAACATCCCATAGTTACTGCAAGCACACCTGAGTAATCTTGCATGAATTAATAGTTACTAGTAGTGGCTCCAAGAAATCTCCAAAGAACCAACAGTTACTGTAAGTGACCCTGAGTAATCTCCCTCAAAACTTACACAACAGTTACTGTAAATAAACCTGAGTAAGCTTCCTTCAACCAATAATTGATACAAGGGATCCTGAGTAATCATCCATGAACAAGGAGTCACTGCACTTTTCCTTGCGTAGTCCTCCATAAATCAATTGCTACTGCCAGTGACCCTAAGTCATTTTCCATGAACCAATAGTTACTACAGTTGACCCTGAGTAATCTTCCATAAATAAACTGTTACTGGTAGGTGACCTTGAGCAATCTTCTATGAACCACCAGTTACTGCAAGTGACCCTGAGTAATCTTCCAGGGACCACTTACTGCAAGTGACCCTGAGCAATCTTCAATTAACCATCAGTTACTGCAAGTTACCTTTAGGAATCTCCCTTAAATAACTCTCACTGCAAGTGACCCTGAATAATCTTTCGTGAACCAGCAGTTAAAACAAGTGACCCTAACTAATCTACCATTACCCAGTAGTTACTGGAAGTGACCCTGGGTAATCTGCCATGAACCAATAGTTACTACAAGAGGCCCTGAGTAATATCCCATGGACCTACAGTTAATGGAGACAACTCTGTCCAATAAGCCAAAAGTTACTGCAGGTGATCTGAGTAATCTCCCCTGAAGCAATAGTTACTACAAGTGACCTTGAGTAATCTCCAGTAACCCAAATGTTACTGCAGGTGACCCTGAGTAATCTCCCCTGAACCAATAGTTACTACAAGCGACTTTGAGTAATCTCCAGTAAACCAAAAGTTACTGCAGGTGACCCTGAGTAATCTCTCCTGAACCAATCGTTACTACAAGTGACCTTGAATAATCTCCTATACACCAAAAGGTACCACAGGTGACCCTGAGTAATGAACCAACAAGTTCACTACAGGTTTACTAGAAGTGAAAAGAAAGAAAGCCAACCCTTATAACCTAGGTAGCGTATATAAGAGACATAAGACCAATATGCTGCAAAACTCATCTACTATTTTTCTCCACCATAACAACAGTCCATTTTAAGGCGTATTAAACATGCTCAGATATGTTACAGGAGCTGGATTATTCATGTCTCCTAAGCTGGAGGATCCCAGTATGCCATTTAGGGTGGAGTTGCTGTTATATGGGTCCTATGATATTCAATGAGAGTAAAAGGACTTCTTACCATATAGATGTGCTACTACTGCAACTTCACATAACTACATTAAGGTATATGGTGACCCATTTGCTTTTATTGATTGATATGTTTAGGGCTGCAACAACTAATCGACTAAATTGATAATAATCGATGATGAGAACAGTTGGAAACTATTCTCATCATCGATTAGTTGGTTGGGGAAGGAGAGAGAGAAAAAAAAGAGAGAGAGATTTTTTTAAAACAACCAATCAAATTGTTGAAAAAATAATCGGGCAACTAATCGATTATGAAAATAATCGTTAGCTGCAGCCCTAGATATGTTGGGGGGTTTCATGTTTTGTATCTTTGCAACAAGAAATATATCTGTATGTTAAATCCAGCCTGAAATAGATTATTAAGTTGACTTGCAACTGGCCAGCATGTTATTTGGGGTGGAGTCGATGTTACACGGGGTCTAATGATGTCTAAAGAAAGTATAAGAACTGATCGATGAAAAGATATGATTGCTGTAACTGATCCATCTTTAATGATTGATATGCTGGGGGATTTCATGTTTTGTATCTCTACAATAAGAAAGATGGACTAGTCTGGGTATTGGTGGAGACCATCTCTATATCAAAGATTGCCCAAAAAACATGAATTTCTAGACTGGGATTGTTTAATGAAATGGACTTTAATTCTCTTGGAGCCGCCAAAAATGAGTCCTTTTTGATCTGTTCCTCAGTTAGGGTCGGACGATACAGTACTTATATGAAGAAGAGTCCAATCATATGGTGGAGAAAAAATAGTAGATACTATTATACATTATATACTATACTACAGTAACAACATACTGCGTTTTCAGTATATTGGTCTATGTCTGTTTATACACTGATACTGTATGTTGGCTGCCCAGGCTATAGAGTTGTTTTAATATTTATGTTGTCTTTGGTGTTTGTTCTTAGGCACATGTACAGTGTGGTTCCTTTTTTTAGAAACCCACGGCTTATAAAAATAAATATGTTTAGTACTGTCATACAAGCAGATGGGAGCCGTGTACTCATCTGCCTAGCACTTGTTTCTCTTATGTATTTACTACAAGTGATTCTGAGTAATCTCCCACAATGTTTTAGAGTCCAAGGATTTATAAGAATAAATCATTCCTGTTTATATTTTCATACAAACAGATAACAGTCCTGTACTCATCTGCCTAAACACTTGTCTTTTCTTATGTATTTACTACAAGTGACCCTGGGTAATTCCCCATGTTTTAGAGCATTGGGATTGATAAAAATAAAGAAATGATTTCTTATAGGTCTATACATATGTACATAAGTACTCATTTCCCCACCACTTTTCTTTTCTTTTCTTATGTATTTACCCTGACTAATCTCCTATAATGGTTTAGAACCCCAGGATTTATCAAGATAAAGAAATCCTTTTTATATGTTCATACAAACAGCAGGCAGCAGTGTACTCATCTGCCTAACACTTTTCTTTTCTTATGTATTGACTACAAGGTAAAGTAAACTTCCACAATGGTTTTGAACCCCAGGATTGATCAAGGTAAAGAAATCCTTTTTATATTTTTATACAATCAGATGGCAGAAGTGGACAGAAGTGGTCAGTGGACACGTTTCTTATGTATTTACTACAAGGGACCATGAGTAATGTTTTGGAACACCATGCTATACAAAAATAAAGAACTACTCTTTATTTTCATACAATCAGATGGCAGAAGTGGACCCATCTGACACTTTTATTATGTATTTACTACAGGTGACCCTGTGTAATCTCCTATAATGTTTTAGAACCCCAGATAAATAAATCCTTTTAATATGCTCATACAATCAGCAGGCAGCAGTATACTCATCTATCACGTTTCTTTTCTTATGTACTGTATTGACTACAAGCCACCCTGAGTAATGTTCTGGTTTAGAACCCCACGATTTATAAACAATAAAGAAATACTCTATATTTTCATGCAATCAGATGACACAAGTGTACTCATCTGACACTTCTCTTATGTATTTACTACACGGGAGCCTGAGTAATGTTTTAGAACCCCATGGTATATAAAAATACTTTTTTTTACATTTCCATATAATCAGATGACACAAGTGTACTCATCTGACACTTTACTACAGGTGACCCTGAGTAATCTCCCATGACCCAACAATTAATACAAACACCCTGATCACTTATTTCCTCTTAGCAGGTATGGTGTCCCCCATGTCACCGTCTCTCCGATCTGTCCTCTGTCATTAGCCCCGGTAATATAGACCATAGTTATAGTCACACCAGTTGAACTGGGATGTGCAGATGGAGGACCTCATTCTGCATTAACCCTGCCGATGCCTGACGGTGTCCAGCCTGCTCCTGATGTGATTTAACCCCTTGCATCCCCCGTCGCTCCGCCCGTGGCAGGGGAAGTGTTCCTGGCAGACGTGCCAGCCTCTATATAGCAGAGCTGCGTGTCTAGCAGCGGAGCAGATCCGTCCTGGAAGGAGAGCGCCTAGTTAATAGCTTATTCAGCAGCCTGACCTGTGATCAATGATCGGGCTGCGCATTGGAGCCCTCGTACAGCCCGGGGACAGCGATTGAGTCATCACCGACTGGGAGGGGACCGGTGCCTTTGCCTGGACGAGGCAGCGGCGGAGCCGGGGACACGTGGAGAGCAGCCCCGGGGGGCAGAAGAGGAGGAGGGGAGAAGAGGGCTGTCAGTGTTCATTTCTCCCTACCATGAATGACAGGAGACCTCTGTGATCAGCACCAGGACTGGAGGATCCCACCTGTCATCTGTCACAGGGACTTTATCACGAGCGGTCCATGCGGAGATCTTCATTGGGTCCCACGGTAGTTCTGCTGCGAGACGGCCACAGGCAGCGCTACTAGGATTCCTTTTTGTTTTTTTAAACAGTGCAAAGCGGAGAGAGCAGCTCTGGTAGTGAGAGCCCAGTCGGTCCATGACTTGTTTGGGACTCTGCTGCTGCTGAAACACAATAGGTGAGTGGAAGCAATCCCCATCACTCCTCCACCAGTGTGGTCCCTAATCCTGTAACCCTGTCATGGCTGGACTAGCCTGCAATGCAGAATTGTGTCTGCCAGAGAGAGGTGATGATGATGATGATGATGTGTGTATGGGCAGGCTGGTAGATGTAGTGTTAAATGAGCAGATGAGTTTGGAGGGGGGTATTATCCCAGGAAGAACTAGGCTGAAGTCTAGGAGAGTGGCTGGGAACATTACCTACAATATGCAGCACCTCCAGAAGACTTGTCAGGTGATTTCATATCCCTATTAATAGTAATGCGTGCCATTAATCCAGCCAGCCCCGAGGGCCTGAAAAGCACATTTCCTATTGCATGATCCTTGTCCTAAGTTATTTCTTGCTATCAGCATGTTCCCAATTGCCCTGTACTCCCCACGGCCTTGAGTTCCCCATGGAGGAGGTTTCACAGCAGTTAAAGTTCTTGTTTGTTATATAAGGTGTGGGGCATTGCAGACAAATGCTGATTGTCTGCAGTCTCAGTCCATGGTGAATTTCAGCCCAATTTGGAACCCCAACAGACATGGGCATTGGCAGCTCAGTGTTACAGTATTGTTGTAAAAGCAAGTCTTTAATTACTGCCTGGGCATGCATGACTTTGTGCCATAGAGAGCTGCAAAGACTGGCAGGACAGCAGGTGTTTAATGCAGCATTTAGGGGCCAGATGTAGCAGACCCTGCGGGGGCTGCAGACTTTCTTATTCCCTGTTCTTTGCACTGTTGTCTGTGTCTTTTTGCAGTACTGACATGATATTTTAGTGGTTATTTACGACTCATAAGCGTGGAAGGACAGAGAGCAGATATATTTAGCACTGCAATAGAATTTACAATGCTAATTGTAACCCTGGGTGTGTATAGAGATGCTGTATAATCAGCCTTCTTCAACACTAAAGCAGAGACCCTATGAAGTGTCATTGCAAGAGTACTGCACTCTGCTCTGCATTTCACTCCTGTACGTATGTCCACATCCAATATGTTTGCATGCATTTCTCCCAGCCAGCTGGGCCATGTGTACTGGGGGCTGGTTCTGTTGACACTTGCATCCAACAGGATGACATTTACTATCCAATCTCTTTAAATATCAGTCATTTTTTTGGTTGTGTACAAATATCAAGGTTACATCTCATAACATTTTGGTTCTTTGAAGTTAGACGCTGGGGTGATCTTGCTTCTTCCCGTCTTTGCAGAAATAAAGTGATTTTTCTCTGTAGGGGAGACTCAGCAGCCATGGATCTGTCTCAGGACTCTGTCTGGCTCGCTCCGAGCACTTGAATTAACTGATAAACATTTATCTTAGTAGGCTCTGTGCAAACCTCCAAGGTCTCTTGCAAAGCTTACATCCTTTCAGTTTTTTTTCAGCCCCTAGCTTGCATGATAAATATTGCAAAGTTGTAGTGCTGCAAGGATGCTTGGTCCTACACAGAAGGATTTGTAGAAACAATGCTTGGGCATGAATCGCTTTTTTTCTTCTTTGTTTATCAAAGTTTTCAGGAATCCTTATGTAAGTGGAAGCTTTTAATTATATGATTGTCAGAGTTTCTCTAGAAATTGTTTGTTCACAAGCTGTTCTATTTTTAACCCTTTCTGGAGACATCAGGTCTGGCTGCTCCTTTATGTGGAAGAGTCACAATACAGGGAAGCACTATTTTATCTTTCTTTGTCTCATGGATATTGAGATCCAATATTGAAATCTGACAGCTAGTATAATTGTTGCTTGTTGAAGATGTTGTTTCGAACTTTAATTTGGCCACATGATTTCATCTGTTCCATCTAGTTACAGATTATTACAGCAGTCTAGAACTAGAATCCTTTTTTTTACATTTGTCGATATCATTGATAATCGTAACTCCGAAAGAAAAGGTGCACTTTAATTTAAAGAGTATGCGATATGCCAACATAGTAGATTGTAAGCTCTCATGGACAGGGCCCTCCTAACCATCTTGTCTTGAATTGTATTGTATCTGTAATGTCTTCCTTATATTGTAAAGCTCAAACTGTTGGCGCTATATAAATCCTGTAATAATAGTAGTAAAAGTAGCAGTTATCAGTTTGCACACTCATACAAAAGCGCAAAGACATGTGTGACATGCCAGCTCCTTTGTTTTTGCAGTTTCAGCATGTGGGTAAGATGATGGACAAATATATTTGTAGAGATGATGGTGAGTTTTGTAACATTGTCTGTATGAGATGGTCCTTTAAAGTAGCTCAATATATATAT